AGACTGTGATAGAAGCCGCCTGTGACACCCCGGGCTGTCTCCGCCCCCACACCGCTCTGCCAGACTGTGATAGGCGGCTGAGCGGTGTGGGAGGGGAGCTCAGCCTCCTGTGACAGCGCGGGCTGTCTCCGCCCCCACACCGCTCTGCCAGACTGTGATAGGCGGCTGAGCGGTGTGGGAGGGGAGCTCAGCCTCCTGTGACAGCGCGGGCCGTCTCCGCCCCCACACCGCTCTGCTAGACTGTGATAGGCGGCTGAGCGGTGTGGGAGGAGAGATGCCGGCCGCTCACAGCGCTCTCCTCCCGCAGCGCTCGACCGGCTGTCACTTTTTCTCCTCCTTGCTGGAACACAGAGCAGCGCCCATTGGGGAGAGAAGAAATGGGGGGTGCGCTGATGTATCGGCAGGAAAATGGCACTTTCTGCATTTAGCCAAAAGTGCCATTTTCGGCCGGTATGTTTCGGCGGCCGATATATCGGCGCATCCCTACTTGTAACTCTTGTGACGTTGGGGAATGCGGCACTAATGGTGAACGCTCACATACCAGTCTCGAAGCCACTTTAGCATAAAACAGAACAGTCTTTTATTGCCTCCAGAGCAGAAACATAACTTCAACAATTAACACGCAATCCGGTTGTATTCCAGCAAACCGAACATAGTCTCACCGACTCCAGGTTGTCACACATACTCCATGTGTCACTGGCTCTCTCAGCCTCCTCGGCTGCCTTCCCTGTGCCTCCAGCACATACAGCCACCTGGCTCCCCTTCTGGGAGGAGTCCTCCTGACTCCTGAACACCTTCTGTTCCTCTTCCACTGGTGGTCCGCGGGAAAATTTGGGTGGTCCCTGGGCTCCTCTGATGCCGTGCAGGGCTGGGCCGTCATTGAAGCGGCACGGAGGCTCCGGGGGCTGCCTCTCACTCACTCGAGCAGCGGCTGTCACAAGCAATGCGCAGCTCTCAGTACGGCGCGCGCTCTGCAGGGGGCGGGGCATCTCGTCAGTACCCGGACTGAGCAGGCTGCGGGACAAAGTGGGGAGAAGCCAGGTAATAGTGGCTCAGTGTGGGGGAAGGGGAGGCACAGGGGTGGTTTGGGCAGTGCTGAAGCTAGAGGGGGCATGAGCCCCGGGCGCTGGCCGCAGGGCCAGTGGCAGATCCGGTAGGGGTGGGACAATTAATATTATTACTGGGCCGGGGAAGGCGGCACCGCTCCCTCCCTCCACCAGCACTGCCACACCCGCACCTATGTATGTAGGTGTATATATATATATATTCTCCTATATCTGAATAGACCTCTTAGTTCTGGAGAATTTCGGTTGTTTGTGTTCTTGTAACTGATTTGTTTTTTCTTCTCTACTCCTTATTGAGCATCGGGGGTCCGTGCTGTATAAGGAACGGGCACAGTTTTCTCTGTTTTGTGACAGTAGATAGAGCGGGGGTCTCAGATACATAAACAGGAGGCTCCCATAGTAGAGATCCACCACAGTCACGCGGTAACCACATGTGGAGAAAGCTTTATGCCTTCCTTGGGTGGGACGGATCTTCCGGATATCAGAAAGGAGGTGAAGATATGAGATCAACCAGAAAAACATAATGATGAACCCGCGCTGAGATGTACACGACTACCTCATTAAAGGAGAACTATGGGGTTAAGGCTTTTCCCCATAGTTCTCCCCAGGGTCACCCTAAGCTCAGTATATAGGGAGCTACAGCTCGCGATATACTGAGACGCCGCAGCCGGAGCGGATCCCGACAATTGTGCCGGGATGCGCCCAGCTGCGTGAGTGACAGCTGGCTCTGTCTATCTAGAGGAGGAGCCAGCTGTACCCACCCCCTCCCCCCGTCCGTTCCGCCAGTCAGCGCTGGCGGATCAGAGCGGGGGGAATCCAGCCCCTCCCCTGTCACAGCAGAGAGCCGAGACAGGATCGAGAGGGGAGCGAACGCCGGTATGTGTTCGCTCACTGAGCCGACCTGTGACAGTCTCATTGTCACAGGTCGGCTAGAACTATGAGGTGAGTGAAAAGCCCCTCCCCCCCCCTCATAGTTCTCCTTTAAGTGAAGTATCTGCTGGGCATTGGAAGGGATGGTGGTATCTCACAGAAGGTCCATGACCTGAGGGTTGCTGAGAATTTTGGGAAGGACGGTGGACAAGAAACCAATGCCAATCATGGAGTATGTGGGGGGTCTGTAGCTTTGGGTTGGTCCTCACAATGATCAGTAGAAGGTTTCCTGGCCATATGATTATGTACAGCACCAACAACATAAGGAAACAACTTGCCTGGAGATCTGGGACATTTGGAAGTCTGAGGAGGACCTCTCTGGAGGCTTGGTTCACGTCTTCCATAAAAGTCTGACAGGAGAAGAGTTTATTGATACTATTAGTGGTTGTAGTATATAGATAGTATGTATTGATCGTAGTGGAGCATGGGGAACTGAACCACCTTGGCTTCATCTACAACAGTGAGATCCTCCTGCAATCATTCCTGACCCTGTTCCTCTCCAGCTAGAGGTGTTGGGTGCTCCTGCCCACATTTGTGTGTTCAAGGCTCCTTTTATTGCACTCTCCATACTATAAACCAAAATATAAAGTAGCGAAGAGTGGGAACCCCACACAATGGGGAACGCGGGTAGGTATGCAGACCCAGACATTTCACCAATAGAGTCCCTGAGACATACACCAAAACAATGTACCTATCCCTCATATTATGGAATATGTTGTCTGCAGTGCTGGTTCTGTTAATACTACGACATGCAACCCAACCCAAAGATATTGTAGACAATTGTGATCTTCTAAACTTGTTGGAGTAGCCGATATCATTGGAAGCAGTGGCGTAACAGTCGCCATAGCGACCCAGGAGGCCGCTATGGGGCCCAGGGCGCAGGGGGGCCCGGGCCAGATGCCGTGCGGGCCGCCTGGGTCGCTATGGCATCTTCTGCTGGTGGCTTTCGCTGGCGGATGTGAGAAGAATGCGCCGCTGTTCAGATCACTGACCGGTTCTCGGAGTCAGTGAGAGCCAGCAGCGGCGGTAGAGCAGGCTGGACCCGGCAGTGGAGGAGGAGGCTGGGGCCCATGGTCGGCAGCTGCAGAGGAGGCAGGGCCCCGTGACGGAGAAGGAGGCGGGCCCCATCAGCGACCGTGGAGGAAGAGGAGGCGGACAGGTAAGGAGTGCGACCAGCCTACCTGAGGGTGACCCTGCAGAGCCCACCATAGAGAGTCTATGGTGGGCTTTGCAGGGTCACCCTCAGGTGGGATCTCAAGTGGGCTCTGCAAGGGGCATAACTAGAAGTCAGGGCTCCATACAAAAATGTTTCTACTGGGCCCTGTGACTTCTAGTTACGCCCCTGATTGAAGGTGGCAGCACCAGAAATGGCATATTCCTGAAAATGTAAACAGCAACACTGATGAATGAAGATCTGCCAGGACTGTCATGTCCTGGGGCAAGCCCGACCCCCTGCTGGTATTTACTGCCCACATCTGTGTCAGTAAGGAAGCATATACGCTGGGATGGGGGGCAGGGGCATATGATGGAACCTTCTTCCTGTGTTCACACATGCCATGGGGGTTTTTCTCTATGCCCAGGACACGCCTCTCCAGGAGGTCTCAGCGAATCACATTCTTGATTGTAGAGTCCAGAAAGTCTTTGTCTTGTCCAAGCGGTCACCAAGGTTTACCATTGTCCCTGCTGGTGAGCTAGGTTAGTGCAGCTCACTAACTGCACTAACCTAGCTCACTAACTGCACAAACCTAGCTCACCAGCAGGGACAATGGTAAACCTTGGTGACCGCTTGGACAAGACAAAGACTTTCTGGACTCTACAATCAAGAATGTGATTCGCTGAGACCTCCTGGAGAGGCGTGTCCTGGGCATAGAGAAAAAACCCCCATGGCATGTGTGACTGAGAGTGAGAGAGAATGGTGTGACTAGCAGAATTCAGCTGGCTCTGCCTCTAGATAGGAGGAGCCAGCTGTCACTCACGCAGCTGGGCGGATCCCGGCACAATTGTCGGGATCCGCTCCGGCTGCGGCGTCTCGGTATACCGCGAGCTGCAGCTCCCTATATACTGAGCCTTGGGTGACGGGAGGACGCTAGTTTGTGTCCTTCCGTTACCCTAAGTAAAACTACGGGGGAAAGCCCTGACCTCATAGTTCTCCTTTAAGGCACCCCCCAAATCAGAGCACATTCTACATATCCCCATTTATTTATTTTATTTAACTTCCTTTTTTTTAGTTACAGGTGATCTAGATCAGGTCAAAGAAGAACGTTGTAGCTGCTCAAATCAATTTACAACTAACGAGGAAAAGGTTGGCCGGCCTTGTGGCTTGACATATACGGGCAACCGCCCCAACTCTCACTCCAAGTGTTAGAGAATGTTTGTAGTTTGTTAGAGAATGTTTGTAGTTAGTGTGCTGAAGAGCTGGGTTAGGTGCAATAAAATCCTGACTCAGTGCTTCCTCCTGCACCCCTGCAGCAATAGGTCCCTTATAAAGAACATTATATATATATATATAGTCAGTGGTTACAAA